ATGATGAAAATAATAATGATAATAATGATAATAATAATTTTTATTTATACAATGCTCTTACAATACATGTGTAAAATATCAGATTATCACATGCTCTACATGCTGAGAGCCTGACATCACCCCAACTCGCAAATCTACAAATGGCGGGAATATCAATCAATTCTACCAATAGTTACTTTGAAGACAAGATGAAATGCAAGAAACATTAACAGTACCTGTGACTCGTAGATTCCTTCGATGTCTGGGGAAGACAAATCTGTAAAAAGTTCGCTAATACCAAAACAAGAATGATATAACAATTAGATTTAAATAAATAAACTAAGCTCAAAAATAAAGTACTGCACATCAACCCGTTAATTCGGTATTTGCCTACTTTAAAAATCAACGAACCTTAGTTTTAAAATATAAATATTAAAAAAGGATTGTCCCTTAATCTTAATCTTAGCCGTGAGAGTACCAAATACGAGAAGTTATAAAACCCTTTTATGAATGGTCGTAAAAGAAATCTTCACCCAGGCAAACGATAATTTGTAACAGTATAATATTTAAACTATCAGGCGTAGCAGGCGTGATGTAGTTACCTTGAATGCTCTCTATAAATGTCTTCTGATACCAAGTACCGGTACAGATTGATAGCAGGGTGTGACCTGGGTAACGTCTTGGACACACGCCGCCAGACTGGAAAAAAAAGTAAAAAAGAAAAAAAAAATTGAAAGAAAGAAAAATAAGGTAAATATTTATGTAGACTGGAAAATAAATAAAGACAGAAATAAATACTGATCATAAGGGATGTATCTGAAGATATCTATGCCAATATATAGTGAATACATTATAAAAAGTGATATCAGCAAAATGTATAAATAATTGACTATTACATACTGACACTTTTATTATACCATAGGAATGCGACACAAGTTTCTGCTACAAGCCTCAAGCGTAAACATACAAGCCTTGTAAAAGTTTTCTCGCAAGAAAGTTACACGAGTACTTTCGCCGCAAACAGACCGCCCGAAACTTGTCTCACAATGCTACTGTAAGTAACTGTCGAAAGTTACGAAGATAGCAGGGTAAACAGTTTTCGATGCTAGCCATTCCGAGGTTGAGCAGAAAACTTGCATTGTATTGTCCCTAAGCACGGCATTGCAAGTTTGGCTCAGTTATTTCCTCGACCTTGGAACAGCCTTTGATTGGTATATTTGTACCAAATCATGAACATCAGATCAAAGTTTCAAATCAAACTTGACTTACTAGTTCCCTCTTCTTCTTCCTTTGCGCATCTGCTGTTGACATAAAATATTCTAGGCACGTTGACTTTAACAGTGTGAAGGTCTGAACCAATCAGAGCCCAGACCTTGAAAACACCAGGAGATGAAGTTTCTGCAATCTAACGCAATCATAAACGATATCAGGAGGAACAAAGACAGTTGTCTTGATGTGAGATCTAAAGAGCACAAACCAAGTCAAGCCTCTTTAAGAGGACCTTATAATCTTGAGTAAAGGCGGGAGAATCAATGGGGATGTGCGCGCAACATTTATCTGGCCCTCGGCAACAAACAAATTAAACTCTGGATGAAATGAAGCTGCCTAGGACCCGATACATAACAAAAATTAAAATTAGTAAAATAATCCGCATATAATAGTAAATACGAACTTACCTGTACAATCTGCCAAGGAGTATTCAAAAGTGACCTGGCCTGCTGTCTGATGAATGACGTCATTCCTGTCTTGGACCCTCCGCCACGTACACCTAATGACATTCCCATGTTGTTGGCTTCCTGACGTAATCGTTTACGTTCTGCTCTTTGTTTCGATTGATATTCCCATTTCTTCTTATGGAAGGACACCCAAGCATCTTTTTCTTCCTGAAAAAAAAATTGTTTTCAAAATTACGTTTCTAGTTGCAAATTCGCAACAACAAAAACAAAGCCAGGATACCGCGATTAGAGGGAAGGGGTGGAATATTGATAAAACCCTGAATTTTTCTTGTTCAGAGTTTTAACTGCAATTTCATTTATTCTGTCAAATCTTCCTTGTTCCAGACATAAGGGTACGCTTCCATATTCTTAACATGGTTTTAATAAGGTACGAACCTTGGATGGTCCCCACTCGGGTTGTTCACCAAGAACCTCCCTCCATGATTTGCTGAGATCCACATCATTAGTAGTCTTCTTGCTTGAAGTAGACTGATTCTGGCTGGTATCAACTTCCGCCTCCATTTGACAACGTTTTCGTTTGGTGGCCATTGGTCTCAATGAACCATTGGGTCTAGTGCCAGACCCCATGTCTTCGATGTCAGTAATTTGACCGGGACTAGGTGTGGGGCTAGATCCATCATCTATCTCTTCGTGTTGCTGCTCATTGGAAGAAAAAGTAAAAGAAATGCATATGTATCGTCCTAATATTTAAATGAAACTCCATATCTGTCTATCTCCATTTCTATTCCTAATAATAATAATAATAATAATAATAATTTAATCACTTATTGTGCGCGCATTCCATACAATGATCATGCGCGCATCACAATAATAATATAATATAACTATATAACTATTTACAAAAAAATGAAATATATATATATTGACATATACTGAAAAAACTATCAAAATGCTGAGTTAAAAACGTGGGTTTTAAGATGGCGCTTAAACAAACTAAGATCTTTAATGACGCGAAGGTCTGCATATTCCTATATTTACATCTATGTCTACGTCTACGTGCGTCTTTATCTCTTCTATTGGAAATACAAACCACTATATAATCATCACAATGACAGCGACTGTAATACTACATGCTGTTTACCTTCTGTTTGGGGAGCCTGGTAAACATTTCACTAATCTTCTGCTGCTTGAATACATCGTTCTTTTCCAGCAGTCTCTTGTGTAACCAAGGGGGGTGAGCACAGCGAGGAACTGGATTACTAACCTGAAAAACAGCAATCACAATAGACCTTTCTCAGCTTAGTTTAATAGTTTTATCCTTCAGTATATTATCTTTTCTAGCATTTTCAAGGAAATGATCAATATTAAAGTTAAATATTTCATTTATTTATAACTTTTTTTGCAAACAAATAATAATAGAAAAAAGTTGCAAAAAGGGTGCTGCCAGGGAAGAACTGAATCCTCATATTTGATAGTTGGAAAGCAAACATACTAGACTCTTAAACAGATATTTGTTGTGTTCTTTCAGGAAATGATCAATATTAAAGATAAATATTTTGATAGCTAGGAAGCTAGAAAGAAAAACAAATCTACATCAAGTGAACTGCGTCCTTAGCTTACCCCTTGCAAAGCAGCAGGTATAGTAATAATCTTCTGTATAGCGCTGTTTAGCCTCTCGATATAATACTGCCAATCAAGGATCTCCCTGATATCGAAGTCAACCATCGCGGCATCCTTCAACCATCGCCGCAGATAATACTTCTTCACGCCGTCTTCAGTTTGGAATATGGCTAACGGAATGGCTCTTTCTGTTACTGGAGATCCTTCGGGCTTTCTTGATATGACAAATCTACAGCTAATGCCTTTGTCTTTGACCATCTGGTCACCGAGGAATTCAGCAAGTCTCTTGGCGGTACTGATGGATGTAGACTTTTGTGATCCGTATTCTTCCAGTGTTTTAGACATACTTCGATTCTCTGAGATGAGTTCGAACAGCTCGCAGTCTGGCATGTTTGAGGCCTGAGGGGAATAACACAAAATGAATATATTGGGTTCTGAAATAAAAGGAAGGCAAGGGAAGAGAAGAGAAGAGAAGAGAAGGGAAGGGAAGGGAAGGGAAGGGAAGGGAAGAAATTAAGATATTAATACTAGGATTTTTTACACTTAAAACTTTTTTTTTTTTTTGCTTTTGGATGGAGCCGATTTCATTTTGATTTCTTGTAGCTGAGCAAAAGTGGGCAAACAACCGAGGGAAGAGAAATCATGGCACTGACAGCGGTCACCAGAGCGGTTACAGTATTGACGTATCGGCTAATCCAGTTACCGAGAGCGCGCTATTGCGTGTGGTTGCCTTTTACATGGCACCATCACAGTCGCGTAACGGCACAGCCATAGCATGAGTTTCTCACAGTGATATTTAGAGGATTTAATACAAAGATCGGACAGAGTTTTTCCTTATTTGGACTGACTAAAGTACGGTAAATGATTTCTCCCTATTGACTCCTTAACTTGTTTTTGTTTGAATTAACAATCCGTTATCCCAGGATACCGGACCGCGGTCTGGCAAAGATAAAAATACCTTCCGCTTGCGCAGCCAATCAGAAAGCAATATTTTTAGGGTACTGGACCGGAATAAAATAAAGCAAAATGTTTTGTACATTTAAAATAACAGAATCGTTACATTACCTTACTGTAGAGTACGTCAAGCCAGAAGTTTGCTACCTTCGCTACTGAATTATACACTTCCTCCAGATTGCTACCCTGAAGAAACTGTTCAAACACTGATGACTGGAAATTCTTGATCAGCTGTAGCTCTCCTCTGCGCTTCACCTCAAAACCTTTCAACTCTGCCAGAGAGCCGTCATCATTGAACACAGCATATCTGAAGATAATTATGTCATGAAATAAGAAACATACAGCGTCATTACTAGGATATATTTAATGCATGTGTTTTTACAACTGAACATTAAATTTAGTAGTAGGGCTTTGTCGTAGGTGCCGCTACAAGCAAAAAACACACCAAGTACTATAGAGATAACAGGCGAGAGTAAGACTGCCGCGAGGAGTT